GTAAAGTGCCAAACAAAAAACAAAAAACAAAAAACAAAAAAACCTCCATAAACTATTGCTCTTTTGAAAATAATCCTCTAGAACTACAAATTATTACACCCCCTGAACTATTGATTCGTTGCAATTAAGAACAAATCGATCACAAAAAACTATTTTATCATTTCTCATTAAATTTGACATTTCTAATTAAATTATTTTGTTATCTTTTCTCTTATATAAATATTAATTATACCATATATCTTAATTATATTATTAGTATTAATTTATCATAAAAATTGGGAGGAAAAGTATATTTGTAACTACCATTATCAAAAATAATTAACTTAGTATTAAAATTTTACTATTTATAATAAAACTTATTACAAACAATTTAAACTTTTTTGCCGTAAAAAAAAAAAGACCTTCTTTTTAATTCAATATATATATATATACTAGAAAATTAACACGTGCAATGCACGTAAAGAAAAATTTATATTGGATAAATAATTGGTATTTTATATATTATTTTATCTCAAAATAAAATAAAACTGACTTTTTTTTTTTAAAACAAAAATATTAATTTAGATTTACAGAATAGATGTTAATTCAAATTAAAATATTAATATGATTTATATGAGGGTTTTAATCATCTTTCTATTTAATTATTAAATACATTATGTTAAAATAACTTTTTATATCTTATATCTCTACCAAACACAATTAATCAATTAATTATATCAATGAAAATTTATTTCGATCAATTCTTAATGTATTACCAAGAATCGAGAAAAATGAATTTAGAAATTTATAACATGGCGAGTGTAAAAATAACTATATTGTATTCTAGAGTGGGTACCTTATTTTGTGGTTACATAGTAGTATTTGCACTGTGGTCAAATAGTATTCGCAATGTGGTTTGATATTACTAATTATTATAAACAATGAGAGTTAACACACTATGAATCAATATTCTGAATTTTTTTATTTTTCTTTGGAAAGAGCATTTTATCCTTTTGGGCGATCGAAGTTCTGCAATTGGATGATTGTCAATGCTAAGTTCTCCTGTTGTATCATTGTCAATGCCAAGTTCTGTGTCAAGTTCTTCTATTGTATCATTGACTCGGTTGACTTTTTTAACTGCTTGTGTGACGAAGAGGCCTCTGATTAATTCATCATTTTTGTTGTCTATTTTCACCAGAAACATAAATGACTTCCCTTCACAGCTTTTAACAATGTCGCTGAACTCATTTGTTTCTTCTTCCTTCAAAAATTTATAAGGGAAAGAAAAAAAAAATAACCTTATTTTTCTTTTATAAATTATATATATAATTTATTATATAATGTAATGCACAATTTTTTTCTTATATTAAAATATTATTAAGGATTTTAAATTCTTACCTCATTTTTTAGTCGTAGAAGATCTTCCAAACAACAATTTATTAGTGACTGACAATCATCACAAACTGTTATCTTTGCTTCTGCATTTGTATCTGTCACTTTTAGTCGCATCACAAATCTGCATAATGACCAATTACAATAATAAGTTATTTACGTTTATAAAGTTTTTAAAACTAAGGCAATTTTAAAAGTAATAATCATAATAAAAAATGAATAACATTGAACGCATTTTACATTCTTTATGTTGCAATTGGTACAAGCAATGCCACTGTTCAGCAGTTTGACTTTCTTGTTGCATTCCATACAAGCGTCGTACCATGGTTTCATTTCATTTTCAATTTCTTTAATTGTTGCTTCGAAATAATAATTTGTTTTCTAAACAATGATAAGTAAATTTTATTTTTGTATGAATAATTTTTTTAAAAAAAAAACATCTAATAAGAAAACTAATATAATAAATAATAAATTAAATAATGATGGAAAGTCTACACTAAAAAGCAAATGAACATAGATTCATACCATAAATGCAGTTGTTGATTTTCCAATAATCTCATTGAGACAAATTTTTTTGGCTCCATCAAAAGCTTTAGATTTTGAATTCATAATGAGAGCACCTATATCATTGACGGATATAGTTTTATCAAACCTGCATTTGTAGTATGTATTTGTGATGACTTAATTTGTATGTATGTAGTGATTACTATATATATTGAATACTTTAAAGTATTTAAATTTATGGATCAACGTAACTATTTTTAGTAGAAGAAAACAAACCATTTTCTTAATGTGTTTACTTCGTCGATGTCCATATTGATCTGCAATGTGGATCCTGGATGTGTTTGAAGAGCGACACCTTAAAAGTACAATTATTTAATTATATATTTGTAACATCATAAGGAAAGATAGATTGTAAAATGAGAACATTGATTCAAAAAAAAGAAAAGAAAAATGAGAACATTGATGTCTATTTATATGTAGGGTACCTTTGTAAATGTTAACGACCACATTTGTTAAAGTGATTATTGGTCTCTCGTTTACCATTTGAATTATTTTTTGTCCTTCATTTTCTGCAAGGTCTGACCATAATGTCAAAGTTGTCATTCTTGACCTGTTATATAGTTTAATAATTACTTCAAGTATTTATTCTAAAAATAGGAATTTGTGAAAAATAATTTTACTCACTTTGTATCTATTATAGTGCTGTTACACATTTTAGATATTCCATCACTTTTCTTCTTAGATTTGATCAACATGGAATTTGCTTGAATAACGATTCCGAAAGCATCTGCAAGCTTAACAAGTTAGTTTCATATATTCAATTGAGATATATTGTAATTCACAATTGAGTTCAACATTAAAATATATATATATAAACAAAGAGTTGAAGGGAACTAACCAATTGTCTCCTTGCTGTCAATGTGTTTGTTTATCTCTTTGAAATCAACAAAATTGTAATTTATTTTGTTCAAACTTATTTTCTCCTTCTCAATGATTTCAATTGATGTTTCAGTTGTAAACTTTAATTCGAATTCCTTGTGAACATTTCTATATTTGTGGTTCACTCCACTCACAATTCCATTAGAAATTATATAAGTTTTATGAAGAGCTAGGGATTCCTTGAATATGGTGACCACATCATTGAACAATGCAGCTTGAATTTGTGTTCCCTAAATTGTAAAAGATGATCAATTAATATTGATATATATATATATATATATATATATATATATATATATATATATCAATATCAATATAAAAAAATATAAATATAGAATACTAAAAGTAATGGATAATATGCTTACTTCTTCATCCATTAAAATTACTTTCAATATTTGGCCTGATCCTTTGTCATTATGGTAGTTTTCAACATTTCCTCTACGAAGTACAATCACCTTTATTGTCCAATTCCTTTGTAAAACATCTAGTGAATTTGTAGTGTTAAAAGTGCATTGGTTCCTGATGTTGAAGATTGTTTCTGTAACACAAGATAAAAACAATAATACATTTAATGTAAGTGGAAAATTGTAAATAATAATAATAACAATAATGTAAGTGGAAGATTGCAATCTATAAAAATTTCACAAAGTTTACTGAAAGCATTTCATTTTCAAGATTTATTTTTTCCCCTTGAAAAATGGTCTCCAAACAGGTTTTCTGTCTTATTTTCATTTTTTCAGTTTTCAAGAACAGAGACCATCTTTAAAACAAGATCAAACGAGCCCTATAGCTTTATCAAGAATTTCCAGCTTCCAAAACAAGTTGCTGAGAAAGTAGGCTCCCCACCTTATGGTAAGTTTTCTAGCAATAATAGTCTAACCCTTCTTCTTCCCCGTATATCAAACATAAAATGATAAAACTATAGGGCAAGTTTCCAATTTCCAAAATATGATACATTCAGTATTCAATTTTGGGTCAGCACGTGCAACGTCAATTTAGAAATTCATTGCAATGGGCAAATAAAGTTTAACCAAAAGTACTGAAGATTTTGTATAAACTTCATTCTTTCCAATCTTCTAATGGAAAAGAATCTAGCCAAAGTTCAATGTAAAAATATGCTTTAAGGGTCCATTTATCATTCTGGATGTCTACCATCACACATTCTAAACTTTTTATTGTAGAATATCTAATCGAAGAACTTTTATAAAATAAAAACAAATAAATAAAAAACACCACTAAAACAATTTCGTCACAAAGAGAAAAAAGAGGACCAAACTATAAAACAGAGGCCATAATGAACCATGTTATCATTGAAATTCAAAACATTGCTATAAGGATATCATTGAAAACTTTCTTACATGCTCGGCAACAAAACCTCTTTGTAGACAACATTTTTTGTATATTTAGCATTGCCTTCAATTCTTTAGTCTTTTTTAACATAGACTTTAGTTGTCGACATTGATGTTCCTCTAGATAACGCCACATATAGTTGTCCATGTGAGAATACATGCTCCGGAAGATATATTCCTACATGAGGAATTGTTTGCCCTTGTGCCTTATTTATTATCATTGCAAAACTTAATCGTATTGGAAACTGTTTTCTAGTAAAACAAAAAGGCAATCCCTCACTCTCTGCCGGGGAAAGAGGTATCCTTGGAATCAGTACTTGTTTCCCTACATGTTGTCCATGGCAAATTTCAGCAGCGATTATGTTCTCTTTTGTGCCACGACATATAAGCATAGTCCCGTTACATAATCCATTTGCAGGATCTAAATTTCTTAGTAAAAGTATAAGACAATTAATTTTCAATGTTAGTCTATGAGGTGGAAGGCCGTTTGGGAGTAAAGAATTTAGAAATTCTTCTTAGTAGTAGGTACCAGCATCATCATTTGCTTTATCAAAGCTATAGTATGTTGAAGATTCTCCCGGAAAACGTTCAATGAGCTAACCGTTTATTTTATCAACAAAATCATTTCTTGTTGCTAAAATTGCTCGATTAGTAATGTATTCCGCTAAGTGAGAATTTTCTTGAAGGGACGGAAATATAGCATCTATCAATGCATTTTCAGAGTTTTCTTCAATTACAGAGTTTATAACTATCTCTTTCGGTAGTTGAATCATGTTGTCTAATAAAGTCAGCTCCTCTTCGTCACCTACTCGTAGTAAAAATTCTGTAAATGATTGATCATTTCTTGTTCTCATGTTCTTTTTCAATTGTATTTTCTTCATTTTTTTTCCATAATTTAGACTTTACCAGACTTGCTTCAATAGTTTCAGCTCTAGTCGCTCGAGGTAGTACGGGTAACACTTGTCTGAAATCTCCGCCAAAAACCACAGCTTTTCCTCCAAAAGATAAATTATTGCCAAGTAAATCTTGTAGAGTTCTATCAACTGCTTTAATTGCGTAACGTTTAGCCATTGGTGCTTCATCACAAATAATTAGTTTGGTTTTTCGTAAGAGTTCTACAGTTGAACTTTGCTTTGAAATGTTACAAGTAGTTGACTCGTCAGCTATGATAGGAATCTTAAATCTTGAATGTGCAGTCCTACCACCTGGTAATAATGAAGAAGCCACTCCAGAAGTTGCAGTTGCAAGTGCAATTCCATGTTCAGATCTAACCTTCGCAAGTAATGCACGGTACAAATACGTTTTTCCTGTACCCCCTGGCCCATCAATGAAGAAGATGTTTGGTTGATTTGACATTATGCATTCAAGTATAGTCATGTATGCATTTTGTTGCTCATTGTTAAGATTTACTATTGCATTGTAATCGTCAGACGGAGTAACAATAGCCATTTCGTTGCTGATCTCTCTAGAGGAATCATAACTGTTGGAATCATTCGCATAATCAATATTTGGCAACTTGTAATCATTTATATTCCGGCCCATGCTTATTAAAGAGTTTTCTATGTTCTTAAGTGTTTCCATGAGTTGGTAGTCAAGGGAAGAATTGGGGTCGGGTAAAAAATCTTCTGACATAGCTTCAAAATAGTCATCCCAAAGTTTTCAAACATTACTTGGGTCACAGAAAACTAATAAAGTTGCAAAAAACCTTCAAAGAGCCGTTTGCATTTGGAAGCACACAGCATCGTTGAGGCACTCAACAATGCTATTATCGCTTTCAAGGAGACCTCTTCTTTCTGCCGACTTTTTAAATGTTACACATTGGAGACCATTAACATATAATAAATCTTTATATGATATTGGTCCACGCACGTGCTTTAACAATTATCTTAAATAATACCTTTCTCCTTCCGAAGGGTTGGCAGCATTAACTCGTCCTATAACCGCCTTGTGGTGTCTGGGACTCCAACATTTATTTTGCTTGTTCCAAACATAATGCTCCGAAATCTCCCTATACAAATAGTCTCTACTTATTTCAGATATAGAGTTTAAATGAAAGAATTCCGTCAACATTGTATGTGATATATCTTCAGAACGAATGATATATTCTAGGTTTTTGTTCTCCCAATACCAAATTGTGTGTTTATTTGGAAGATGTAATTGGAGGTTGGTAACCGAAGGATACATTTCATTTAAGTTAAACTCATAAAGTCTCCACATTGCTTCTTGTGGTGATACCCATCGTGCATCCTGATATTCTTTTATTTCATCTACGAAATTCCCTCCATCAACATTTGAGATATGAATCGCAACACGATCATGTCCCTTGTATATATATTTATAGAGATACTTTACTACTGTTATTCCTGAGCATATCTCGACATTTATATGGCAGTCATATCTCTCTAAAAGATATGGATTATAAGGAACAACCCATCTGTTATCTACCATTGTATTACACACAAAGACTATTTGGCTGTCTTTTCTTCTTCTGTATATAGGGTATGAATCTTTACCTTGAATCGTATGTTAGACAAATTTACGTGGATAAAGATTTTTCAATTTCCCATCCTTCATGCATGCATTCTTTTTGTTGAGATCTCTGCAAGGACCATGAATCATATGTTTCACTACTTTCCGATAAAGTGATGGATTTTCATTCTCAGAAGGAATTTCTGCACAAACCAATTTGTCGTATTATTCTGCATTTGAAATTTTGAATTCAAGTTGAAATATGAGCAATATGTGTGCGTGTGGCAAACCTCTTTTTTGAAACTCAATCACATGAACATGCGCTGCCACTTTTCTAAATATCGATCTTTCAAATAATTATTGCTTCACGTCATATAGCTTTGCTCTGTACACTCTAGCTATTAAATCTGGTCTATCTTGTGGTAATTGTCCAAATTTCAGTTCGTCGCGAATTTCTTTCCAATCAGGATTACAAGTCATTGTAATAAAAAGGTCTGGTTTTCCAAATCTCTGAACCAAACACATGGCATCAAAGTATCATCTACGCATATCCCTAGGTCCTACCTGTGAAAGAAGCGGGAAGAACAACCCGTTTTCCAACTGCCACAATGCTATCAACAATTCCTTGGTATAATTCAGATCGAATATGTGATTGTTGTGTCCGGTAGTAATCTAAACGAGTCGATTCAAGCTTAATGTACATATCAACCACATATTGTTGCAAAAGTCTTCTAGCATATAATAGAATTGATCGTTCTTTTTCACGTATTTGGAGTTTGTAGCAATAATATTGTCTGCACGAAACCTTTTTTGTTCTTCTTGCTGCATCATTGTAAAATAATTTATTAAAGTTCTTGAATTATCACTTCAACATATATGTGAATCAATTTTGTTTATTTAAATAATATATTGCAATAAGATTTACCTTGTTCAACTCTTGTTGCAATATCATGTTCAAAAATATCTTCTTCACATGTAACATGTTGAACGATACTTGGTTGATGTCGTGTTTTGATATTACGATGCCATCCAATTTCACCAAATGGAAATAATAAAGGGTATTGTAATGGATCATAACATCCAAAGTAGTGCCTTACTCTATGTCTTCTTCCTGAGTGTGCAGTACCAATTATATCTCGTTTTGAACGTGTATTTGAATTTGTTCCTTCTATCCACACAGCTACAACTTGGTCCGATGAGGGTGAATTGTAAACTCTTTGGTCTAGGCGAACATCATTTTTTATCATGATCTCATAACTCTCTTGGACAGGAATATCTTTTAGCCTTTGGAAAAACTGTTCGTATGGATTTGCAGATAATATCTCCATTAACTTTACGACAATTGGCTCTTCTAAATTTGCATCTTTAAGAATTCTCATTCTATTTTGCAATTCATTATTAGTGTCGTAGAAGTATAATTGGAGGTAACACGGTCCATTATCTCCAAGTGTAAGTGATGGTAATTCATGGTATACTTGACCTTGTGCACGAAAAGTATAGATCCCGGTCTTCATATTTGATAAATTTTTATCAAGACGGACTCCAAATGATGTAAAGGAGAATATACTATTATAGGCACGCAAGTGACGGCGGAAGTCTACAGATAATGCACTTTGGGTTGTGAACAATTCATATAAATCGTTAGGCACATTCGTAAACATTAGGACTAATTCACCATTTGAGCAACAGAAACTTGGAGGTTCGTATTCAAATTTTTTTGCATAACAAAATTCACATTGTGGGACCTTCTTCAACTCATGGGACATTGTGTCATTATATGGTTTTTCCATCTCCACTCGTTTTCTTTTCTTTATTGAATTTCTAACGTTTTGAATATGGTTGTCTCTTTGGTCAGGTGACAAACTTGCATATCTATTTCTGTAATATGCGTTCAATCTAGCACGTCTATTATCGTGTCTCATTGAATTCTTTCACCTAATAATAGAAAATATAAAGTAAATAGAGATGGTGTTTCCATATGAAATATATGTCTAATTGAATAGTTCACCTTACAAAGATGGTCTTATTACATCTAATTAAAAATAGAAAAAATAATAATAATAAATTAAGTTGGTGTTTTCATATATAAAATCTATGTGTCTAATTAAACGGTCCAGCATACAAAGATCTATCGCGTCTATTATCGTGTCTATAATTGTTCCTCCTAATAATAGAAAATAAAAAGTAAGTAAAAATAGTGCTTCCATATTAAATATATATGTCTAATCCACCTTACAAAGATGATAATGTTACATCTAATAGTAGAAAATATAAAGAAAATTAAGAGGGGTGTCTTAATATAAAATCTATGTGTCTAATTGAATAGTCAACCATACAAAGATGATATATATATATATATATATATATAGATATATATATATATATATATATATATTCTAATTACAAGCTTTTATGCATTCTATATATTCATTGAAATAAAATAAGAAAGTAGCTTTACTGGTAAGGAAAAATAAACTATTCAAGACCCTAATAAATGGTTTAATATTTAATGCACCAAAAAAAAAAAAAAACCACAAAAGTCAACATAATAAAAGAATTTTTATTAACTAAAAGCTAGCTAAAAAAAATTTAAATTGAAAAGCATTAATTTTCCACTCACTTGTAAATTTTATCCCCTTTATTTGAAATTAGTAATGTATTTTGTTCGACCTGCATACGTCATTGATATAAGCATAATAAGGTTAGTATTTTTTTTAATAAAAAAAAAAAAAAAAAAAAAAAGGAAAGAGGCATAGAAAACAACATACAATATATAGTCACACATCAAGTCATGAACATAAACTTATTTTCCATGTTATAGTTTTTCTCATGCAATAATTTATATCTCATGCAATAATTTATAGTGAAAAAAGTTCAATATAGTATATGAAACAAGGATAAAAGTCAGAAAAGGAAAAAAAAACTTACTTATAAATGACCAGATTAAACAAACTACATTCTGTGCCAGGTTTAGAAATGCCAAGTGTTTGAACCGCTTCTTGTCTGGGCCAAATCGCTTGGTAGAACTGAACAATTAAAATATATGTGATCAATTGAGAGAACACTACACCATCTATCATTTGGCAAACTTGGTAACAATCAATCAATGTTGCAAATATACGCAGTAGCTACAAATTTAAACAGAAAAAAAAACAAAAACAAAAAATCTTGTTATTGTTATTTATAACCAATGCTCTATGAATTTCACTTAGATGTATTGTAAACAAAATGTCATTCAATAGGTATTAAATTTTTTTTTTTTTTCCTAAATTAAGCCAACGATGTTAATATTAAAGAGAAATTATTTACTTCAAAAGTAACAAACTTTCAAAATCGAATACAATACAGGCGATTGATTTTAAGTACTACGACCTAAAACGTTGAAATCATGCCCTAATTCTTTAGGGATCCAAATCAGAATTGTTCTTTACTTCAAATTTAAACATACCTTTAAAAAAAAAATTAAGGGTTTTGAGTTGTAATCCGATATGCATGAACCGAAAGAATGAGAACATCATGAATAATTCTGAATTATGGTCAACAAACTTCACATAATTAAGAAACATAATAGGAAAATAAAATTCAAATATTGTATCCTCAAAAACAAAAATATAAATATAAATAATACAAAATACAGATTGAAACATACCTTAAGCCAAAATAGGCCTTGAGTTATGGGCTTCAACCAAATACTGACTTTTAAAGTAGAGTTAGATAGTAAATGTTGAAAGAAAATATGGGCAGAAGAAGCAAGAGGGGTAGAAGAAGTGAGAAAGGTAGAATGAGAGAGGCAAGATTTAATCCGCCGATTATATATAAGGTTCTTCAGACACCAACAATTGAGTAGACATGAAAAAAGAAGACGTGTCGATTTGATTGATATTGTTTCGAAACAATGAAAAAAAAAAAGAATTTTTTAAATTTTTTTTCAAAGAAGAAGGGGATAAAAAAAAATAAAAAAATAAAAAAAACTGCTGAGTAAGAAGATGTGTCGGTTTGAATAATTGAAACTAATGGAAAAGAAAAATTACACGATCTTTTGAAGAACTCCTTGGTATATATAGCTGACCAAA